TCATTTCAACTCAAAGGCTCGGTCGGATATTGTCACGTTTGTCGTATAAATCCCATCACGTCAGGTTTTTTTAAGATAATGAGCCTCATAATAAAATGATTATTTAAGCTCTTCTAATGTCCTGTAAGATACAGCAGACTTTTCTCAGGGTTTATATTAATCTAATCTTACATGTTTTTTACATCTCTAATCATAATTTCCACTGTTAAAGTCTATTCTGCACAGTTTGATTATTATTTTGCACCTTTTTATTAATATTTCCATTGTTTTATTTAGTTTTTTTTGCATCCTTTTCTAGCTACTGCACTTTTTGTCCGTTGCCGCAACAAGAAACATTCCCTGACTGAGATTAATAAAGTGCACCGGTAAAATATTTATTATGGCTTTACAAATGGAATATTTATGAGTCGGTGAACATTTTTATAAAACATTAGATGAGCATTGATATAACGGTTGTAAGATTCGTCCAAGCACTGAAAGCGGTCTTGCTAATTGGCTAAATCAGGCACTTTGCTTTGATTTATTCAGATAAATGTAATGCATCAAAAGAAAAACATAAAAACACAGAACAATAAAATACTAAATCAAATCACACGGTGTTAAAAGTCTGAAAACGGGTGTGTTTTTAAAAGAGGTTTGACACCAGGAAGTGACGTGGCCTGTCTAATGTTGGGGGGGGGGGCGCAGGTTGTTCCAGAGTTTAGGGCTCACGAAAGAAAGAGCCCGACTCCTCTGAGCTTCCGCCTGGTTTTTAGAACAACCAAAAGCAGCTGGTCAGATGATCTCAGCGCTCGAGAAGGAACGTGGTTGAAGTAGGTCAGAGAGGTATGAGGGTGCAAGTCCATTTAGGCACTTAAAGGTCAACAGGAGAATTTAAAATCTATTCTGTTAAGTACAGGGAGCCAGTAAAGGGAGGACAATACTGGTGAGATATGATCAAACTGGAAAAAAAACGGATCCAATTCCTACATGTGTCCAGTTTCATTACTTTGTGTCTGTCTAAACAGATCTCACTTGCAAAGGAGTCTTCTAGGCTCAATGTGACTCATCTGTCTAAATAAAGGTTGAATGAAAGTTTCTGTTAAGAGCCGAGCTGCAGTATTTTGGACGAGCTTGTGAAAGGGAGACCTGACTGACCCCAACATAAAGTGCGTTACAGTAGTCGAGTTGAGTTGCAGTGAAGGCATGGACAAACTTTTCAAGGTCAGATTGGGTCAACACAAACTTAAGCTTAGATATCTGCCTTAACTGGAAGAAGCTTTCCTGCAGAACATAGTTGATTTGTTTATTAAACCTAAAATCAGAATCTAAAACCATCAAGTTTTGTAACGGACTGATTAAGATACGAATCAAGAGAGCCAAGGTTTACAGGAACAGAGCTAAACACAGTGACTTCAGTTTTCTGATCATTAAAACTTAAACAAATTGAAGCCATGCCTTGATGTCGTCGAGACATTTTAACAGAAGATGAATGGAGCAAGAACTACTGGGTTTTAACGGCAGATAAATCTGACAGTCATCAGCATAGCAGTGAAAAGAAAGACCACGTTTTCCTCAGGATAGACCCCAAAAATGGAGCAGATACAGTGAAAACAGAAGGGGTACAAGAATAGAGCCCAGCAGAACTCCACAGGAAAGTGGCACTGAAGCAGATGCACCATTACCAACATTAACACCAACGCTCCCGTCTCTCGGATGAGAACGGAACCATTCTAGAGCTGCACCAGTAATCCCAACCCAGTGTTCTAACCGTGATATAAGGAGGCTGTGGTCAACAGTACCAAAGCAGCGGTAAGGTCCACGAGTACCACCGACCAGAATCATTTGCTAAAAGAATGTTGTTACAAACTCTTTACTAAAGCCGTTTCTGTAATGTGTAATTGTTTCAAACCAGACTGAAAGATCTCAAAAATTCCATTAATTGTTCAAAATATAATTTAATTGAGTAAAAACTATTTTCTCCAAGACTTTAGAAAAAAAAAACAAGGGAAGTTTTGAGATCGGTCTGAAATTTGAACAAGAGAATTTTTAAACATATTGAACATTTTCAAATTTCTCTGACGTTTATATTTGAATTAATGATCAACAAACTTTGCGCAACAGTTGGCGTTGTATTAAAACCATATCAGAGTAAAACATGTTCAAGTATAAAGTACAGAGTTATACAACCATTCACTGGATAAGTGTAATTTACAAGCGCTGCATAACTGCCGTGCGCATCAATGACACGTGCCTAATGATTCGTCGTGCGTCACTGGGCACTGAAGTGGGTATACAGAAATTCTTGAGCTTTTCTAGTGCGTACACTCCATACGCCCAAGTATCACGTAGAGTACACCACTGGAGTACTTTTAATACGGGAGCTGTCAGGGCCAGGTCAACTGGTAACGAGGGCCGGATTTGGCCTGCGAGCCTTCGGTTTGACGCGTTTAAAATGTGAAGAATTCAGACGAATATTAAAAATGAAGAGTGCAGATAAATGTTGGTCCATTATTTGGCAAGACAAATCCTTATTGTTTTTAATGATGCACAAAGGCACCTTAATAACTGTATTCACCCTTGTAGAGTAAATGATCCAGCACTGAACAGCCGAAAGTGTTTCACATCATTTCCATTTTTAAGGTTTATTTATGTTTTAATGAGTGAACGCCTGGTAGCTGTTCAGGATGGCCTGTGTTAATTAGTCAGAGGATGCAAAGGTCACATCTGCCCTCAGGGAACCAAATGCAGCGTCGCTTCAGTCTGACGCTTCACCCTGAAAACCTCATGTGAACAACAACAATCATAAAGTCCGGTCTTTTTCTCGTCTTTTAATAAAACTTCTGCTGAGCGAAGATTAAAAACCAAGCGTGGAGCTTCTTCCTTCCTTCGTCTCCACATCTGGGTTCGCTCACCGCTCGGACACAGATCCGCACAAAAGACGCTTCCTTTTTTTTTTTAAAGTAGTTTTTAAACGCAGCACCGCTTTTAAACAAAGGCACGCGTGATACGTTCAATGTCCTCCTGATTTTTCGCCACTTGTGCGGGACTGAAATCGTGCGCGTGATTTTTTTTTTTTTGCGCGTGTCCTCACCCGTGTCGCTCCTCTTCAGTTCCAGACTAAAGATGAATAAATATAAAGTGCATTTGGACACGAAAAGCAGCCGGTTCGTCCATGACGCCGCTCCTGGACTCTGGTTTCGGTGTCGCTCGTTGCTTCGCATGCTCGCACGCGCCGACAAAAAACAACCTAAGACGAGAAGAAAGGAATAAAAAAAAAAAAGAAAAGAAAAAGAAAAGGAAGGAAAAAGAAACTGGAGCAGCAACTGGCCGGTGGTTTTAGCCCAGGAGGAGGAGGGCCGACGGAAAGCTGCTGCCGGGTCCGGCCGCTAGAGCTCCGTCTGATCAGCCAACGAACCGCGCAGCGCCAACCATCGTCTGTTAGCAAAATATCTCACGAACCACTGGGCGGATCTTAACGACACTCTCTGGTAATAACACCCGAAGGTGCAGCTACAAATGGAAAACATTTGGAGTCGATCCGATTTAAGATGGCTACTAAATGCAACTGATTTTTGAAAAACACAAAAAAGCCTCTAACCGTTTTGATTTTACACAAACCCTAAAACTTAGTGGTAGTAGCTGAGGGTGATCCCCAACAGGTGCTCTGAGCTACAACAAACTGTGCAAGATCTGTCAGAAAAACATCAACCATTGGACACATTTTAGTGCAAGTCTGCAAGGATGAAGTGTGAATGCTGAAACAGCCGAAATTAGCTAAAAAAACATGCTGAAATGTATCTGAAATGGAACAAGCCTAAATGAGCCGAAGAAAGCAAGTTTGCCCAATTAGACTTAAAGAAGCAGCCGAGCACACGAAAAAAAATTATATGAAAAAAGCTGAAAAAAAAAAAAAAACAGCTGAAAAGTAGCTTAAAAGGGCTGCGTGAATGCTTAAATTACCAGAAGGAAGTGAACACTTTTGCTGAATTAGGCTGAAAAAAGTTGAAACGAGTGCAAAAAAATTTAGTTAGTTGAAGAAGCTAAAATGAGCATAAAACAGCTAAATAGAAAATAAAGTTGAAACATGCAGAAATAAGCTGAAAGGAGCATAACGAGCTGAAATCAGCAGAAAGACGTTAGAAAAAGCAGAAAGATAATGCGGTTAACAGAAAGCATCTGAAAGGAGCACAGAACAGCTGAAAGTAGCTGAAAAAATGTTTCAATGTGCACAAAGAAGCTGAAGCAGAACAAAATGTGAAAGGAGCAGCAAAAGGTTGTAAACAGCTCTAAAGATCTGAAGGATGTATAAGAAAAGAAGCTGCAGAAAAGGTGAATATATAAAAATGTTGCATCAATGCCAAAAGTCGTAGCCGATTGTCCTGAAAGAGCTGAACGGTTTGAAATATGTTGAAAAAGCACAAAAATTGTGGAACGAGAACGACGCTGAAAAACGTACAGAAGAAAAATGGATCACAACAGTGTGAACGCTTCATAAACGTTCACACACATTCCAAGATGGCCACCGCAGCTAATCAGCCGAACAGATTGAGCTAAAATCGGGTGTGGTAGTAGCCGAGAGTTGTTCACATCAACGCAACGTTCGTACGGTTGAATTAAAACGGCTACAACTTCGTTTCTCAACTCGTGGGGCTTTTAGTTTCAAACTCCACGTGCGTTTGTTTTAGGAACGATAAACGCTTTGATTTTATTCAAGTTCTCTCAGATTTGATGTTCACTTTGTTTCTAAACACGTTCCATGGAGCGACCGTTTTCCTTCTTTAAAGCTTTAATTTAGCCACAGTTACCTTTTAGCTGCCGTTTAGCTAATATTAGCTTCTGTTTAGCTCATTTTCACTTTTGGTTCTTCGTCATTAAAGAAAACTTGATACGAAATCCAGCTTCACAGACAACAAACACATTTTAACCAATAGCATTTAATGATTTATGCAACTTTTTGCTAAGGCCCACTCCCCCCCCCCCCCCCCCCACAACAGTACTATTAGGTAAACCAGTCCCTTGCATTTTATTGGCCAAAAATAAATTCAAACATACCTAAATAAATATGTGTTCATGGAATCAGGAGGGTGGGGTCAACCAAAACAATTCCAATTAAAAGGCAAGTTTTCTCCATGAACTTTTTAAAATTGATCATTTTCTCTTAAAAAAAATTAAAGGGGGGGGGGGGGTCAATCCTCAGCAGTTTCACAACTGCAACCATCCTTTATAAAATCTGAGGTGGAACAGTGCCACCAGCTGGAAGTTGAAAGCTTTGGTCACAGGAGTTTCAGACGATCTGGGCTGGACCAGGAGACGCTTTCTCAGTTTGCAGGTCTGGAGTTTAAACTGGTTTGGAGCCATTTAAGGTTCAAAACTCGAACCCAGGCTGGCGTTGCTTCTTCAACTTCAGGGAGATGAGGGCGAACAAATCGTTTGAGCTCGGGAGGTTCCGACTACTTTTGGGCCAGGACGGCTCATGCACGGGCGTGTGCGTGAGAGAGCACGTGGGGTACGAGGCCTTGCGCAGTCCTTCTCCGTCTGTCCGTGCTGAAGCAGTTCTGTACTTTGTTTTATTTTCTGTCTCTTGACCAGAAAAGAAAAATCTGAAAGGATAAGCCCACTGTTCTCCCCCCAGCACAGCGCCAAAACTCGCCCCCTCTGCTGCGGAGTCTTCCAGGGCTTTGACCCCTAGAACGATGCCGCTCTGTACGGAAAGCAGGACAGGTGGGCTGGGGTGGATGGACATCAGAAGGCTGGAGGGAGGCCCACCCCTTCCATGACTTCTCACCCACCCCTTGCTGCCATCTGACCAGTTTCCCTGGAGCTCTTCATGGCAAGGTGGGACGCTGTTAGGATGGGGGAGTACAGCGCCACCCCCCACCACATCGAACGATTCAGTCAGTCATTTCAGAGGTGCGAGCTCAGTTTGAGGCGCCGTTGTTGGAGGAGCTGGACGTCGAGGCCACGGCCATGCCAGAGGTGCCCAAGGAAGCCACCGACTTGCGGATGTGGGGCATTAGGAAGGGGTCGCTGGCCAGCTGGTGGACGTCGATGCGGTCCTCTTTACGGTACACTAGACAGCGCCTTATAAAGGCCTGGGGAGTTACAAAACCAACAGTGGGACAATTAATTCAATTTAGTTTATTTATATAAACAAGTCACAACAGAAGTCATCTCAGGGCACTGAACAGAAACACTCGGATACATTCAAAGTAAGTTAATAAGCCATAAAGAGAAAGAACACAAATAAAGCAGGTAATGATGAAAAGTGTAATACCTTAGCTTCAGGTGTGACTACAGGTTTAGGGGGAAACTGAACTTCTGTGGCCTTCAGGATGGTGTTCTCCTGCAGGATGTCCTGCTGGGACTGGTTGTGGCCAAAAGGCTAAAAGGAAGAGACGGAAAACTGGTGTTACTTAAACACTTCTCTACAAACTGGGCAAAGTACTACATTCAAAGTAAATAAAAGTGTAACGGTATAATGTATGGTCACTGCATGATCTAGTGCATGTGTAAAACTGAAGGCACGTGGGCCCGATTCAACCCAATTTACAATTTCATCCAGTGTTTTGAAAGTATTAGAAGTGGCCTGCCCATTTGTGACAGGGTTTTATTGCTTTATATTTTTCTAGCACTCTGAAGCCACGAAAGTAAAGTTCGAATTGGCTCGTGTTTTGATTTTGACATGGAGGTCAAGAGCAACGTTTTGCTGCCGTTTGCAACAGCAGAAATTCAGAAGTACTAAAACGCGTCAACACTTTGATCGGGTCGGTCTCGTACCTTACGGCCGTACAAACACTGGTAGAAAATGACTCCCACAGACCACACGTCAACCTTATTGGAGATTTTCGGCGGCTCCTTGCCAACAACAAAGCACTCGGGGGGTAGGTACCTAAAAGACAGAATTTAGTTATTGAGATTTCTAAAACCTTGTTTATCAACACAAGTTGTAAAATTTAACAAATTTCTGCGTTTGTTCTTACAAACGAAGAAATGAGAGTTTGCACCAGAACAGATGAAGAACGTGATGTGACTTTGTATTCACGGAACAACAGCACCGACTAATCAAACGTTGCGTCAACTAGACCTTTCAGACACGACGACTGTTAAGAAATTAATCATATTTTAGTCCATTTAGTCTTCGATTTTCCACCATTACATCGCTAAACCTCCAATGTACACTTGCAGTCCAAACTAGAAATGCAGATGTGTGTCTGCCGAGTTATCAGCACTTGCCTTTATATTTTTTGCTTTCTAACTTTATTAGCATCAACCGCTATGAATTGATGCTAACAGCTACATGTGTGTTTGAGATCAACAAACCACAAAAATATCTCGCCCAATTCCCAAATCTCACTTTCTTGAATCATAGTTTATTTCATTCAGAACAGTTCTCACTTAAACTACACAAATGTTTCATATATTAAAAAACACATATTTTTAATTCTATTCATTTTATTCCTGGGGGCTCTACTGCATAAATGATAATGAGTACAACTTCCTGTCAGACAGGAAGTAGCAGTAAGCAATGGTTAACTATGGTAGTGGAGCAAGGACCACGGCTTATTTTAAACTAATTTGCATTCAGTTAAGCAGATAAAACTCTGTTTTTTGTTTTGTTTACATTCATATAACATCCATAAAGTTTACTAAAATAGCCGTGCTGAGTTCAGGTACCTGTTGTGTTCAGTGGCTACAACAACAGAGTTTGAACACGGACCCAACACAAAAAAAGAGAGTTCCTGTGTAAAGAGGTTTAGTTTCATCTCCCACCTACAGATGAGGAATTAAGAAGAATGTGGCTGAAAAATGTGAATTTGAAGAGAACACCCAAAACACTGTACGCGTTTCACTTTGTTGACAAACGGCCGACGCAGGAAAACCTGCATCCTACTTTGTGTCTGGACGACAATAAACCACCGGAGAAGAGACGCCGGATCCTCAGAAGGATTGAAAACAGTGACGAGAACATCAGGGATGATTTCAGGTGTATGGAGGACACAGCTTTACAGTATTTGTTCGTGTTCAGTTTTGTGATTTTCTCTGCAGTGAACCCAAGCTCAGTGATGGAGGACTTTAAAGGTAAATAAGATTGTGCCCCACCTCTTAACAAAACACGACCGACCTCATTACTGTAGCTACTGATTCACCTCGGAGCTTTTCAGGTTGTTCGTCGCTTCACCGTCGGAAGAACCGACTCAGTGAAGTAGCTAAATACGCTAGTATTTGTAATCTATGACCACTTCTTCAGGTCAGCGGTATGATTACATCGTCCTGTTTGAGCGCTGACAGCTGGTGTTCCTCCAAGTTTAAATTAAATCAACAATGCTCAGAGAAACTTCATTAGCTCGCACTGTTCGCACAGAAACAAACGCCGGTTTCGGTCCACACTGGATGTGGCGCCCATAATTCACACAAGCCACCATGGGGGCTAGGAATAAGGTGGATACTTGTGTCAGCACACACTGTGCGTCAGTACAAGCACAAATCTTACCAGTACGTCCCTGCTCCCTGAGAGGTCAGCTCCATCCCGTCCACGGAGTTGTAGCTGTCGTCGTCCATGATCTTGGACAGGCCGAAGTCTGTGATCTTTATCTCCCCACAGGCAGTGCCGTTCACCAGCAGGATATTACCTGAGCAGAGAGGACGCGATGGCCTCGTGTTTTATTTAGCAAAATGAGCACTGGTACGATCACAGCACAACCCCCCTTCAGTTTATTACAATCATTTGTATCGGCTGCAGTGACCAAAGAACTACTGCTCTGAGCCACTTATTAATGACAACAGTTGTGCCGCTTATGAACCTCACAAATTACATAATGGTAAAAAAAAAAATTGTAAAGAAAAACCGAAACAAAAATAAAAGAAGAATCAGCATAAAACAGTGGTGACGGCAGAGAAAAGCAAAGACTCACCGGGTTTAAGGTCGTAGTGGATAATGGGCGGCCTGATCTCATTGAGGTACTTGAGGGCGTTAACAATCTGCATGATGATGGAGCGGCCCTCCTTCTCTGACATGAGTTTGTGCTGCTTCAGGTAGAAGTCCAGGTCATTCCCCTCACAGTACTCCAGGACTGTGCAGAACCTGCTCCAAACAACAACAATCTCAACACCGCTTGGTACTTCAAGTAAAAAATACAACGACGAGCAAATACAATAAAAAAACAACAACTTTATTTCTGTAAAAAGCATTTGGAATGACTTACGAGTCGGTGTCAAGTGAAAAGTAGTCATAGAGTTTAACTATTCGAGGGTGGTCGAGCTCTTTATGGATTCTATATTCTCTGCACGCATGCCTGAAAAAATAAAAAACATTTAGTCACTTTATTTCCGTTATAAACACAGTGAAATAATGAAAAGTAAGTAACACGTGCACGGAGAAAACGCTGTAGTGCTGTGTTGAAATCAAAAAAGTTCAAGACATAAACAACTGGACTTTATTTGTAACGGAAGACGTTCCGCTTCTCATCCGAGGAGCTTTCTCAATTCAGAGAGCAGAGTGTGAGGTTCGAGTTATAAAGCTGAGCGAAATTCGATGCGTGTGCAGGTTAGAGAGGCAGGAAAACAACGATTCATTAAAGAATCTAGATTCTTAGTTCTGGCGATTCTAAATCGATTCTGAAAGCCTAAAATCTATTTTAAAATGTGTTTAAGTTGTTTTTTCCCCGCTCCTACTCCTTAGCGTACTGCATACTGCATTACGTGTCCACCCATCACTGTAGAATTTGGCCTTGTAGGCCACCGTACAGCGAGCTAGTTAGCCAGCTCCCTTTGTCTGAATGGAGTGTGCTAGCATGGACAGCGCGATTCGACCCGCTGCTTCATCTTTAAAAGTCGTGTAAAGTCATTTTGGACTCTACAAGAGCACGGCTGTTTGCAAGAAGTGTAAAATAAAAATGTGGTAAAGTATTTTGGAAATGCGACAAATGCGCAGAAGGAAGATGAAAAGAGAAGCAGCAGATCGGCGAACGCTGCAACAAACTTGCAGCTAATTCCCCGAGAGCTGTGAACATTTCCCGCTCCATCTCCTGCTGCATCACAAAAGATTTACAAGCAGACAGCTCAGTCGAGGGCTTCGGGTTTATTTTTAATACCCAACGTACGTTGTTCATTCACGCAGCTTTTTGAGTGATAAAGCTGCGCCACGACTCCACCACGAAACAAAAATGAAGTGGGAGAAGCGCTGGTTAATGCTAACAGCTGCAGCTCAACTGTTTTTCTCATATTGTACTAAAACTTAAAGACAAGTTGTGCAACAAACTTCATGTAATTTGTCTTTGGAACAGTTTGGAGAGAGGCCAGATGAGACACAGCACCTGGAGCCGTTCATAAAATACATACAGCTCAGAAGAGCTTTTGTGCAGGTTTAAACAGGTTTTGAAATTTTGTTAAAAGATTTACCAAATATGAATCAATATGGTTAAGACTGTGAAATCTGGATATTTCATATTAGGTTAAGTTTTAAAAAAATACAGCAAATGTTAGAGCAATATGGTTAAAAAAAACTGTGAAGTCTGTATTTTATTTTGAGTTAAAGGTTAATGTACTCGAGTGAATGGTTGTTTGTCTCGTTTGTCTCGTTTGTCTCTATGTGTCCCTGTGATGGACTTGCGACCCGTCCAGGGTGTCCCCCGCCCCTCGCACAGCGATTGCTGGACATGGGCACCGGCGACCCCCGTGACCCAAAATGGAATAAGCGGGTAAAGATAATGGATGGATGGATGGGTTAATGTACTATGGTAGGCTGAAGTCTTTATTTACTTTTATATTTTGAATTATTTGTCTGTGATGGACTGGAGACCTGTCCAGGTGTCCCCCGCCTCTCGCACAGTGACGGCTGGACGTGGGCACCAGTGACTCGAAAAGGAAGAAGTGGGTAAAAATGATGGAGATGGATTATTTCTTCCTAGGTTTTTATTTTATTTTATAAGTTACAGAACTTTATCCACTCCTATATTCGCTCCTGATTTTGGTGTAGATATAAAAATGATGCCAAAAAAGATTTGATACAGTAAAGATCCTAAAACTACGGTTTTAAATTAATGTTCTATTCGTTTACATTGTTGTTTAATATTTTCAGCTTGTCAGTTACATAAATGAAACAAAATTTATGACCATTTCAATAGAAAAATCGTTTCTGAATTGAAAATTGATTTTGAATCGAGTCGTGACACCAATTGGAATCGAATCAAAAGACGAGAGACTCGCACTTCACCCCTCGCCACAGGGGTTCGTTAGAGTCTTTGGTCATGTGACTGGCAGAGGAGCCACTGGTCACATGGATGAAACTCCTGATGGATGTGAAAATGACTGTCAGTCCTAAAGCTGCATGATAAGTTTTGGAAAGTTGAAAGCCGAGACCTCCTCCTCTGTTTAAAGATGGTTCCTCTCATTTTACATAAATATTTTCCTTCGCCCCTCTCAAACCATCCGTCTCCTCAGTCCGACTGAGAATCTTCACCAGCGAAGTGCCGTGATAAAAAAAACAAAATAAAACACTCACTTGTGATAATTTTCCTTCTTCTCATCCCTCCAGTTCTTGTTTAACTGGTGGATTTTAACTGCGACGTACCGTTGCTCCGTTAAGTCAAAGGCCTGGAAAGTAAAAGATCTCCAGTTAGAAACTGCGCCGTTTGGTTTTAGCTGCCGTAGCCGCCTCTCTCACATGTTCATTAATCCGTTTTTACTGCAGCGACGGCTGATTCTTGGAACTCTTGACTCAGTGATGTACCTCAAAATGTTAAAGTCAACTTCATGTGACGAATGTGCAGCACAGACAGTCACTGAGAATTAAATAAATTCAATGTTGGCAGCTAAACGTCACAATCTCTGACCTTTTCAAGCAAAATACATTTGAAAAGATTAATACTGTAATTTATTTGAAGACACCAGACGAAAACTAATAATGTAAAAAACGTTTCTTGGACAAGAACAAAAAAGTGAAGCAGCTGAACAACGATCATCCGTGTGCTTATCACGTGTTTCTCCACTTGTTCTCACCTTATACACTTCACTGAAACCTCCCCGCCCAAGCAAATGGAGCAGCAGATATCGGTCATTTAGCGTAGGGTGATCTTTAAATCTAGAGAAAAGAAGAAACAAGAGTTGGGACTGGAACGGTTTAGACAAGATGTCACTTCCATTTCTGCACGCCTTTCTGTTCCTTCCAGTTATTTTTGGACACGGTTTCATGCTTGAACAGTCACCGTGAGTACAACAGTAACTTCTTCAAGCTGGCTCAAGAAACACGAGCTTATCCGTTACAGAGCTGAACGCGTCTGAACAGAAGGACAAGCAGCAAAGATCGCACATTACAAACGTCCCGGATCAGAAACTAAAACACACGAAGCTTAAAGAAAGCTGAAAACTGATCCGATCGTTTTAAAGTGGAAGGGTCGACTGAAAATTGGAGAATTATTTAGATTTTAAATGCGAAACGGAAAAACTTTTCGCCATTGCTCGTTTTAAATGTCAGCACTCTTAAAAGTACAACGAAGTTTATCACCTCATCGTCTGAACGTTTACGAAGCGTTCGCAGTTGTGGTCCATCTTTCTTCTGTACGCGTTTCTGCATCTTTCTCGTTCCACAGTTTGTGTGCCATTTCAACGAATCATAAATCAAAACATTCAGCTCGTTCAGAAGGGTGCTATGACTTGTGGTATTGGTGCAACTTTAGCTTTTTGAAATATTTAGCCTTTTCTGAATTGAGCTCATTTTACATCCTTCAAATGTTTAGATGTGTTTACAACCTTTTACTGCTCTTTTCACACTTTGTTCTGCTTCAGCTTCTTTCAGCTTCCTTGTGCAAATTCAAACATTTTTCAGCTACTTTCAGCTAATGTCAGCTGTGCTCCTTTTAAATTCTTTCTGCTGAAAACAACATTTGTGCTCTAACTTATTTCTGCTAATTTCAGCTCGTTATGCTCCTTTAAGTTTATTTATACAAGTTTAATCTTTTTCTGCTATTTCAGCTACTATTCAGCTGTTTTATGCTAATTTCTTTGCACTCATTTCAACTTTTTTTCAGCCTAATTCAGCAAAAATGGGCTCTTTCCACTTACTTCTGGTAATTTTAGCTTCTTTCTGCTTATTTAGCTACTTTTCAGCTGTTTTTTTGTTTGTTGTAATTTTAGCTTTTTTCAGATAATTTCCACTTTTTTGTGCTCATTTCTGCTTCTTTCAGCCTAACTGGGCAAATATGTGTTCTTTTTGTTTTCTTCTGCTAATTTAAGCTTGTTCTACCTGTTCAGCTACCTTTTAGGCATGTTTAAGCTACTGTCAGCTGTTTTCGGAAAAATTAATTTTTTGTGGTAATTATGCTACTTTTAGCCTAATCAACTCCTTCTGCTAATTTTAGTTTTTTATGTTCATTTCAGCTTATTTCTGCTAGTTGAAGTTACTTCAGCTACTATTTTTTTTTATGTTTCAGCTTTTTTCGGTGTTAATTTACTAATTTCTGAGCTCATTTTTGCGTATTTAAACCAAATTCAGCATGTGTGTTCTTTCTGCTTTCTACAACTAATTTAAGCTCTTCCATTTCAGAATGTTTTTTAGATAATTTCAGATGTTTTTCAGCAAGTTCTTCTGCGTTAAGCATTCACGCTGCATTTTCGCAGGAAATGCAGTTTCTCTAGTTTCTGATTGGGTTTTACACTTTTCGTCAAGAACGTCTATAAATTCCTCTTCAAAAAATTATTTTATAAAAACCGAAACTAATTTAACTGCCTAAACGTGTCACAATTAACAAGCAAAGTTTATGCATCCATTAACTTTGTCAAGTCTGAATGGTAACAGCATGTTGAATTATATAATCAGCCCGAAGGAAACCAGTATTGTGATACATCCCAGGTCTGGAAAAAGGGAAATAAAATCATACTGGGAATTATCTTCATTGTGGATCCTTTTCAGCTCGCGTATGTGAAGGTTTCGGACTCGCTCCAGTCTCTCCAGTTCTGCCTGGATCTCTGCCTCCTCCTGCAAACAATATTAAATCAGAAGTTGAGCAAGATGCTAACAAAAAGACCACAATGAAGCACAGAAACACCAAAAGCTTGCCATGAACACAGGCAGCTTTACCTTTTTAAGATATCCTAATCTGAGTTTAAAGATTTCCTCCTGCTCGTGGTACTCCGCCTGCGACAATCTGTTAGAAAACAGAACCATTTTCAGTGCAACGCGTGTAAGAGGGGGAACGGTAGCTGGTGTACAACGGAAGAGGTTAACGTACGCTTCGCTCTCTGTTCCGTTGGTCTTGCTTTTGCGTTTGTTCTGCTCCAGGCTTGGCGGTGGAGTCTGGGCCATAGAAGGCGGTTTGCGTTTGGCCAGAAGCTTCCTCTGCCTTTCGATGTCCTCTCGCTGAGAGTTGATTCTCTCTTGTTGTCTGAAAACCACCAGAACATTAGTGACGAGTACGATTTGTGTAAAAGTTACTGGAAACGTTCACGCTTACAAATTTGAGGAGCTGTCGTTGATACGAATAGAAGAAAGCAATTACCGTAAATGTTGCTACATAAGTCACAGTTTTTTAAATAAATTAGCATGCCTGCAATTTATACAGCGAAGCAACGCATTTACGTTTCCCCAATATTTATAAACCAATCTCTGGCTGAGATCTGACGATTTCATTCATTCTGACACGGAAAATATTGAACACGGCCATTTTCAGCCGCTAGAGGGTCCTCCACTAATATGGCAAGCCAAGTGTCTCATTAATAGGTAAAAGTGGCTATTAATGAGACACTTGGCTTGCCATACCAAGCCACCTTCATCTTGCTCCGGAACTCCTGGAGCAAACGTCAAATCAGCTGCATTTCGCCGCCCAGGAGAAACGCAGCTGATCTGATCATTAAAGTGCATTTGTTAAAGAAAAGTTCAACTGAGACACACATTTACTATAATTTTGAGCAAACAAATAATTGTTTTTAAACGTTATTTTTGTTAAAGTCCTCTTGTGCACGCTCCTGCAGCCGCCATTTGGCAGCCAATCCATTTTTGGCACAACACTGGCCCACATTTCCAGGTTGTCAGCGGTGACGTGCAATAGATGCGACTTATACGGGGAAGTGACACGTTTATGTTTTTCCCACTTTATTAGACATATTTGGACCGATACAACTTATACGTCGGTGTGACATGTACGGCGGCGAGGACGGTATTTTAACAGAAGTGCCGTTTGACTCTTAAAAGATAAAATCGTGTTTAAAAGTGTTAAACCTCACTTGATAAGGTTCTGAAAAGCGTATCCATCCGTCCACTGCTCAGTGAAAGACGCCCCGTGCCTTACAGTGGTGAAGTGACCCAGTCGAAGCCTGTCCTGCATACTTTTATCGCGGCACGCCATCTTTTCCTGTTTGGACTGAGGAGCGGAGGATGACACAAGTCAAACTTGATCGACAACACACACACACACAAAAAAAAGCCACACATTTGGAAGAACAGCCGAAAAAAATAAAAAGCTCAACGAGGTTTGACGTACTTTTTCGATAAGCAGCTTCTTGGACATAGTCACGCATTTATTTAACCGTTCTTTGTATCGCTCCAGCATCTTCTGCTGCTCATCAATTTGTCTCCTGAGATCACAGTTTGCCTAGAGCAGAACACAGACACAGAAATGGTGAAGTCAAAATTATTCACTTTGAATGTGATACACGTACAGAGTCCAACACGTGAGCTCTTCTGTGATAAATCATTACATTCAGTATATTATTCTCAAAACCACTGAAACAAAGCGGCAGGGATGAAATGTGGAGAGATTCGTACCCGCAGCAAATCGTCTATCCGGCCTTCCTTCTTCTCCAGGTCAGAGTTCTTGTTGTTCTCCATCGCTATTAGTTTCTCTATAGTAAGGTCAGACTAAAGAGTGAGCACAAAAGTGTTTGTTAATTATGGATCAATCAAAACCTGACACTTTTAGCGCAACAAGAAGTCTTTACTATTCATTCCAGATGATGATGATTAAATGTTTTATACGTTTGTTTGACAACTGTGTAAAAACCTGTAGTAAAATATATTAAAACGAAAGGCGCCCAGTTCGTTTAGAGTACCTGCGTGGCTTTGTGGAGCAAGAGAAGAGCAGCTGGCTTCAACGAACACGAGGAGTGCTCTGTGTTGGCCGAGCCGACGGACGAGGGACTCCCTTGCTGCACCTGGGAGGCAAAAATGTTCATTAAAAAACAAAAAGACCAACATTCTAATGGGTTAAGTGGGTGATTTTTTTTTTCCTCAAGAAGACACAAAAAGGCATGTCCTAAAAAAAAACCTAGCAAAAGTAAATTAGAAGCATGCAAATCTACGATGCATGTACTATATTCAACAAAATGTAATCCGTGGTGTCCAATCTTGGTCCTTGAGGCCCACTGTCCTGCACATTTTAGACGTTTCTCTGCTTCAACCCACTTGATTTGAGTGAATAATAGGTTTCTGCAGAACTTCAGGACGTGTTGGAAGAGGCAGTTCAAGCACTGAAGCAGGTGTGCTGGAGCAACAACTACCGTATTTTTCAGATTACAAGGCGCAATATCAATGAACGGGTCTGTTTTCATGCATAAGGAGCATTAGGTGAAACAAAACAGTCAGATAAGTCAAATTTATTCAACTCATTCACAATAACTCAACGTTGCTCAGCTGTACCCAGTGGTGTAACGGCACACGTGGGTGTACTGAACCGTTTCGGTTATTTTTTCCACTCATTAGAATTTTATTAACGAGAGATTATGCGCCGCGGAACTGAAGTTCCTAAGCGTGTTTCAGCACGGCGCTATAGTCTTGCAGCACACGTAGCATTAGCAGCATGTCGTTGCGGTCTCCTGTTTGGGAACATTACGTCTTTCTTGTTAAAAGACAAGCGAACAAATCCAAAGCTGTGAGTCGACGTCGTTTCACGGAGAGTGGATCTGCCGCAGCAACACGTCGAACTTGTTAACAACTTGAAACGACATCATCCGAACGTGAACGTAGTTTGGGTCAAAGACCAACAACAGCAGCATTTAAACGACCTTTATCAGGTAATTCACATCGGTCCAAAGCAATAACACAAACTGTAGGAGTTTTCAAAGCTCTGGACCTACGTCCAAATGATGTTGATGCGCCGGCTTGAAGCGCATGATTAAAGTTCTTGAGCCACGACATCCCATCACGTCAACACTTCAGCCAAGAAGTTGTAGCAGCGCTTTAAAACTGATCATCAACAAGCCCGACCCCAGATTTAAAGCCCTGCCACGTGATGATGATGAACGAGAGGATATCCAACCACCTCATATGATGACCGTGCAAGAAGAGCTATTGTATTATTGTAATCTAATTAACTTTTTAATTTAAAATTATAATCTTATTAACTCTTTTTTTTTTTTTATCTCTGTGTTGCTTGCGGCCTGAGGATGTTAGCGGAGTCTTTTTCATCCACCAGATCACCTCCAGCTAAGAAGTCCGTAATGACTGAACTTGTTTACTTGGCATATTTTCACAATAAACATTTTGTAAATCTTTATTTGGGCCTTTTCTGTACCGAAACTGAACCGAACCGAGCTGTGACTTTAGCGTACCGTTACGCCCCTAGCTGTACCACATAAAACTGGTTCGGGGTCAGTAAGCACAGCCAGAGTTAATGCATAAGGAGCACTGGATTATAAGGCTCACTGTCGATTTTTGAAAAAATTAAAGGATTTTAAGTGTACCTTATAATCCGAAAAATACGGTAAACATGCATGAGGGTCTGTTGAAAACCAGAATTGGGCATCGCCGTCTGTTTGGAATATCTGAACTGTGGCTGCATTAAAAATGACACAAACATGAAGATCTGTTTGTCACCGCACCAACTCTGTGCCATGATTACAGACAAGAACCACTTCAGACTGTGAAGAACTTCACGTCATGGTTGGGGTTAATGAAAAGAATGACGACGAAGAGCGTTGAGGGATGAAAAGGCGTGACAAACACCAAACATGCTCACCATGACAGGCGGATTGGACAGAGAGTGTTGTGGGGAAGAGCGGACAACAGGTGGAATTCCCCTGGCAGGGCTAGTACCAGGACCGCTACCTCCCGCAAACTGACATGCCGCAGAAAGACCAAGAGGAAGACGTGGAGAAAACAAACAAAAAAGATAGTAAAGGGGACTGGTTAGAAAGTAAGTATGAAATGTTATTTACTAAAGCTTTTCTGAAGACGGATCAAAACACAATTTTCAGTAACATACCTCAAAATAATCACTAATTTTATGTCCTCTTGCTCCGACTTTGCCTGGAAAAGAGAAGCGGGGAGTTTAAAGGAAGAGTAAATTAAAAAAGACAAAAGACTCGGAGCACAGGGACAGTCTTACCTTGGCTACTGTCAAAGTGGTCCGCTTTGCGCTTCCTCACCCTCTGGTCATTAGTCTTTTTCTCTGGAGTCTGTAAGAATCAACCATAAGCTAATGAGGTGACAGGGAGATTTCCAGCACAAATAAATCTTATTAATACACGAAGGAGACCAACCTCGAGCTCTTTGTCACTAAGTGAGCCCACACTGCACAGACTTTGATTTGATGACTCGTTTTGACTCTGACCCGAGCCCTGATAAAACAACAGAGCAGTTAATTACAAAAATAGCTGAGATGGAGGATGAATGCACACGTAAAACTGTACTTTCAAATGTAAGCAGTTGTGAGAAAATGGCAAAAGAAAAAAAAAGGGGGACAATTGGTAAAAGTGGCAACATAGTAAAAAAAAAAAAAAGTCCACTGAATGTAGACCCCCATCAGCCCTAATGCTGGTTCCCTAGGTGATGCCTGTCAATCAAATGATTCACATCAGAATTCAGCAAGCTCTGTCCAATCAGGAAGAGACACTTAGTCATTCAGAGCACACCAGAGCTCGCTCTCACTGAACCCTCCTAAAATGGCTGAACATTAGGCAAGCTGCTGGGGATGTGTTCCTCTCCGTCACCTTTAGATAATGTCATCCTTTCTCCCCCCATTTGTCCCCGTCTTAAACACTTTGTTTTGCTCTAAAGAAGCCAACAAAAACTGTTTTTGATTTTAAAAAAATTAAAGCTTATTTTAAACCAATCGTCTCCACTAAAAAAATGCCTTGGTTTGTTCTGAAAGAAATGCCCTTTGCAACCGTTTTCACGAGAGGTCTGTTGTCGTCAAAAGGTGCTTTGTCCCTCGTCCTCAAAAGCTAATAATTATCAGTTATACCAACTGAGTGATGACAGAGAGCAGCAGTGCCACGGGGCTGTCCATGGTCAAGGAAGGGAAAATGATTTTAGACCAGCAAAACATGCCTTCACAGCCTTTTGCTAACAAACTGCACTCTCACCCATTCCCCTCACACAGACGCTGCATCTCTTGTCAGACAGGGTGATTGTGGCATAATGCTTTAGCAATTGCCCCCATTTTCTGTGCGGCGGAAGTCATGCCACGCTCCTGGCTCGGTTCTGCCTACGGCTGGCACAGAGCCCACTCCTAACACCAACTCAGGCTTTCCAACTGTTCCAAGATCACCCTCCACTTACACAGCTCCATCCATGAAGTGATACACAGGATGGAAGGGGAAAAAATGCCTCCACCTATACCTGGTCAAGAACTATTTCCACATTCCTCTAGCTGCCTTCACTCCACTTCCCCCCTACCAACACCGTCCTGTCTGTGGCCTTTTTGGCAGGCATCGCCACTTGCATATACAGCCACTACATCATGAGCCAGGGAGAGATGCCATGTCACACCAGCCAAAAAACACAGACACGGCCCAACCTTCTCCAGAGACAGACAAAGGGAAGGATCGAGCCCAAACTGCTACACTGAAAAACAGAACTGTACGTAAGTGATGCGAGACAAAGGAGGAGATTCATAATAACGTGAAAGCATTAAAATCTGTGATTATGAGCACTTTGATAGGAAGGAGCTCCCTTGATCGACCTTTGCGACATTCGCTGTAACACAAACCTTAGCCACGCCAACTCCAGTAAAGCGAGCCTCCAACAGCTCCTGCCGTCGGGGGTCCAGGCTGTGCAGTTCTTCCATCATGGCTGCAGAGACAAGAGCACAGATTAAGGAAGGTGTCGAAGAGACTGGACTATTCAGACGACAGTGAGGGATCAGCGTTTCACTGGTTATGATGAGTCATGGATGATTTTAGCTATATGGATGTGGAAAATTCCCGTCGTGAGTCATCAATAAGCTTGACAATGATTTACACCATCATATCAACAAAGTGCCAGCCACAGAACAATGGCTGTTCAGTAAAGATCATGAAGAACAGAGAGTGGTCAGCTACAACCAGTAACTAATATGAGGTACAGGCCATATGTTTAGTCACTGCCTGGAAAATTAAGGCATCACTTGATGTAACGCTTTGAATGACAGGCCGAAGTTACATGGCGTTGTTGTTATAAAAGGTCACTAATGGAGGAACTGCAAAGCAAAAGGCCACAACAGACCAGTTCCCAGCTCGCTGGCCTGGCCAAGGTTTAAATTACACGCCCAAAAAAACTGGCTACAATGCCCATTACATATGGTTTAACTACATTAAACAAGACGATAACAAAACAGTGATAGTATTTTAATATATATATAAGTTCTAAACCATAACTTTACCCCAAACAGACGGCTCAAGGTTAAAAAAAAAGATGCATCATGCTGATTTAAAACATGACAGGATCGGTTTGATGTGCTAACAAGCTAACCATCACTTAGCAACTCGGAAGCTAACGGTTTATAAAAAATAAATAAAAGCTAACGCAACAACACAAGGAAAATGCTGACCAGCGTTTACACCAATGACATTATATAAATAGTAAGATTTAAAAAAAAAAAATTACAATTACTGGTCGGAAATGTAAACTGTCGGGCGTTAATAAGGAGTCCAACGAGCTAACGTTAAACCCCAAAAGCAGCAGCATCTTCTCGACGCTCGAGCCACATTTGGGCTGTTAGCAAACATTTCTTTTGTTCGACAGCCCATCCGGACACTCACTGTAATTTAGGATCTTCTCGGTCCCCTGGAGTTGCTGACCCCCCCCCACAAACCGTGTCCGTTTGTTGTTTCACCGGTGCTCGGCAGACCCTCCCAGGCTAGGCCGCATCCGCAGCCTCGTCCCTCGCGTGCTGATTGTTGCCCGGACGCTTGCTGCGCAGCTTCAGGTAGAACGAAGGAGGGTTCCCCTTTGGAGGCCTCGGCAACTCCGGGTGTCCCAAACCCGCCTTTCTGTGCTCCTTAGGCGGGGATCCCCATCACATCCCCCCTTCCGAGGACCATCCCCGTTGATTTAGCCTGGTTTCTCGCTCCACACAATGGCGACCCTGGAGACTCTGCGGATTTTCTTTCCAGCAGGTATAAATGTTTTTTTTGGAGCAGGCGTTAGTTACCCCCCCACCACACCCCCTCCTTGTATTTATCTCCCCCGGCGGGGCGATAAAAATTTAGGGTCCCGTTTTCAGCCGCTCGATCAAAACAAAGTTCGGCTGCAGCTTCCTTCCTAGCTGCGAGGAGAGATGGGGGTAAAGAATCGGTTTTCGGAAGCGTTTCAACTGAATCCGGATCAATTCGGTTCCGTTCCCATGTATTTTTTTTTTTTTGCAATGTAAACAATTATCAGCTAAATCTCACATTTTCTCGTGAGATCGTTAAATAATTTCACCTTCCTCCGGTTCACGCCTACCCCGAATCTGTTGTCCGGACCAATCCCGAACCCTTCCCAGCACAATAACACCCCCCCCTGCTCCCCCACTGAGGGTTGATTAAAAAGTTGTGATGCAAACACCCTCAGACTGAACAATTACTTCTGTTTTAATCACACAAACTACCAGAGAAGAAAGTTACTTATGAGTATTTTAATTTACCAAGTACAAAATTGGTCATAACGTCTGAAAACAAATACTTTATTGGGGGGGGTAGAAATGTCTGACATTCTTACAGGAGTTTCCAAACCTTTCTAGTTCCAGAACTCATCACCAAAAAAAAAAAAAAACTAGAGAAATAGCATTTCCTTCAAAAATGCAGTGTGAATGATTAATGGAGAAGAACTTGCTGAAAAACAGCTGAAATTAGCCAAAATAAAACATGCTGAAATGTAGCTGTAATGGAAGAACAAGCCTAAGTTAGTAGAAAAAAACACAAATTTGCTTAATTCGATTTAAATAAGCAGAAATGGGCACAGAAATTTAGCTATAAAAAGCTGAAATTAGCAACAAAAAAAAAGCTGAAACATCAGAAAGAAGCCTAAACTACCTAAAGGAAGTGGAAAGATCTGAAATGAGCTCAAATAATTCGTAATTAGATGAAAAAGCTAAAATTAGCATAAAAACAGCTAAATAGAAGAAAAAGCTCAAAGTAGCTGAAAAAAGCTGCATAAAAAGCTTAAATTACCATAAACAAGTTAATTAGGCTGAAAGTCGCAGACATTACCATGAAAACTTGAATTTATCTGAAAACAAACAAAAATAACTAAAAACTGATAAAGGTAGCTGAAAAGGTAGAACATGCTTAAATTAGCAAAGACAGCAGAAAGAACACATGCTTGCCCAATTAGGCTGAAAGAAGCAGAAATGAGAACAAAAAAGTGGAACTTATCTGAAATAAGCAGAAATTAGCAATACATAAATAAATACAAAAGCTGAAAAGTAGCTGAAAGGCAGAAAGAAGCTTAATTTATCAGAAGGAAGTGGAGAGAGCACATTTCTGCTGAACTGGACTGAAAAAGGTTGAAACGAGTGTAAAAAAAAGTGCAATTAGCTGAAAAGGCTAAAATTAGCATAAAACAGCTAAATAGTAGCTGAAATAGCAGAAAAAGTTGAAACTTGTAAAAATTAGCTGAATAAGCTGAAATTAACAGAAAGAAGTTAGAAGAAGCACAAAAATGTTGTAGTTAGCAGAAAGGATTTGAAAGGAGCACAAAACAGCTGAAGAACTGCTGGAATTAGTTGAAATTTGCAGAAGGAAGCTGAAAGAAGCCGAACCAGAACAAAATGTGAAAGGAGCAGTAACAGATCTAAACATCTGAAGGATGCCAAATGAGCTCAATTCATTTTCTATGGTGGAAAAAGTGGCAGAAATGGCTAAATATTTCAAAAAGCTAAAGTTGCACCAACACCAAAAGTCATAGCAGGATTGTCCTGAAAGAGCCGAACGTTTTGATTTATGATTTGTTGAAATAGTTTGAAAAATTGTGGAACGAGAAAGATGCCGACAAATGCACAGAAGAAGAAAAACGGATCACAACTGTGTTGACGCTTATGAAGCGTTCACACAACTCGCGTTCATTAAATGAATGCATATCGCCCGCCGCCTTTTGTGCCAGAGTCTTGAACGGAAACTGTTTTGTGATGAGAGACGTGAAGTCTCAGATTTAGTCAAACATTTTTATGCACGATTCATGTAAAAACAGCCGGATCTGCTCGAGTGTGTGTTCAGGATGATTCTCAGCTACTACCACGCCAAACTTTACTTGAGGACTTGTAAAAGTGAGCGGACTTGGGTTGGCTGTAAAAATGAGTTGGAGATGTTCATCCAGATATTTTGCTTACAGACAAACAGGGTTGAGGCAAAATGTTAAGATTCAGCTCAACGTGTAGTGCTCAAAGTGTTTTGGGAACAACTCTCAGGTACTACCACACCACGCTGTATGAATGAATTAGAACCGTTTGTGTGAACTCACGTCGATCTGCTGAGACTTTGTTCCGACAGGCAGAGCTGACTCCCGGAGGAGGTTTTAAAATCAGACCTTCAGTGCTCACAGTACGTGTGGCGACGACTCTCAGCTACCACGCTGGTTTATCTCAGCATCTGTCAAATCAATGCCAGTTTGGATTTTCGATAGCTGTAGCAGCCATCTTGGATTGGGTTGACTCCAAATGTTAATTAGTTGTACATTAAATGATTATTTTCTGAGAACTACCGATGTTGCCAAAACTTTATCCTCATCAGAACATTAAACAAGTCTGTCCACATGAAGGCAGCTGTATCCTGGTTTTTATAAACTATCTTTTGAGTTCCACCGTTCCTCTTGGAAAAAAAACAACCTCCTCCAGTTTAACTCCTGGTTTCTGCTCGACCAGGCGGGTTTTCGTCTCCGGTTCTGTCTCACGGAGCCTTGCGGTATTTGCACTGGATCCACACCCTGTACATGGTGAGCTGTTTCCCTCTGTTCACCTGCAGCCGTCGGTCCACAAGGTTCTGCACTTTTTCCAGCCCGGCCTCGGTGAACAGCTCGTGAAGCTCATCTGAAACACAAACAGCCGCAGAAATGGGTTCGCGCGCGCCATCAAAGAATAAATCTGCCGAAAGAAAAAGACTTGAATTTGAATTTTTACCCTGAGTAAAAAAGTAAACTCGTGTTCCGTCTCCTCGGACGTAAAAGTTTTCAGAGAGGCACCTTCCTAAAGGATCAAAAGAGAATTTTCTACAATTAACTGCAAACATTATTGAAACATATTTATTATTCATTCATGGTAAATGGTAAATGGACTGTACTTATACAGCACCTTTCTATCTTAGCGAGATACTCGAAGCTCTTTACAACAATCTGTGCCTCATTTACCCGTTCATACAGCTCTATACTAGATCTCTACAAAGCTAACTGAACAAATCATTCTAAAGAGACTAATCAGTGATTTATCACATTCATACACTGATGGGACACACATGAGAGGCAACGAGGGGTTCAGTGTCTTGCCCAGGGACACTTCGACATGTGACTGCTGTTGGATTCGAACCTCCAACTCTCGCATTGGAGGACGACTGCTCTAACCACTCAGCCACTGAGCTACTGTTCTGTTACTTTTACCAAAAGTTTTGTTACTTTTAGCTACTGTTCTGTTACTTTTAACAAAAGTTTTGTTACTTTTAGCTACTGTTCTGTTACTTTTAACAAAAGTTTTGTTACTTTTAGCTACTGTTCTGTTACTTTTAACAAAGCTTTTGCTACTTTTAGCTAATGTTCTGTTACTTTTAACAAAGCTTTTGCTACTTTTAGCTACTGTTCTGTTACTTTTAACAAAGCTTTTGCTACTTTTAGCTACTGTTCTGTTACTTTTAACAAAGCTTTTGTTACTTTTAGCTACTGTTCTGTTACTTTTAACAAAGCTTTTGTTACTTTTAGCTACTGTTCTGTTACTTTTAACAAAGCTTTTGTTACTTTTAGCTACAGTTCTGTTACTTTTAACAAAGGTTTTGCTACTTTTAGCTACTGTTCTGTTACGTTTAACAAAGCTTTTGCTAATTTTAGCTACTGTTCTGTTACTTTTAACACATCTTTTGCTACTTTTAGCTACTGTTCTGTTACTTTTAACAAAGCTTTTG